CAGATTCATTCATATGGAAACAACATAATATGGAAAGAGCACAGCCTGTGGAGTATGTCAGAGTAAGACAGAAATCCTCACTGCCAATGACTAGCTATAAGACAAAACAAAATTTATTTAACTTTTCTGAGTCCTAATTTCCTCATATATACAAGACAGCACTGCCTATCATGTAGAGTTTGTAAGGGTCAAAGATAATATAAAACAACCAGCACAGATTGTGACAGCGAAAGTATTCAATAAATAGAGGCAATTATATCAATATTACCCTCTACCCTTCTCTCTTACCCTCTTCACACATTGTTTTTATCCCCTATGCTGCCGTTAAGCACCCTGTTCAGGATTTATTTAAAGGAAATTAGGATTTGGAATCAGAAAACCTGAGTTTGATTCCAGGCACTGTCTCATACAAGCTATTAACTTTAGAGTAGACATTTAACATCTCTGAACCTCAGACTGTTCATCTGTTACTCAAAAAAAAAAAAAAAAAAAAGGGAAAAAAAAAAAAAAAAAAAAAGGGAAAATCAAAAAATCATAGAATTATAATTGTAACATAGTTTATAAACTGGCATAAATTGTACAGTACCAGAAATGTTAGCTTTTACCTACTCCAACATATTCCTGCTCAAAAATTACCTGCCTTTCAAGATCAAATGTGTAGAACTGAGCAAATGTCACAGGAGGAGTAAAGCAAGCTAAACTACGTAGCTCACAGTAACATACTGTGACGATGTCCTCTTTATATTCCCAGAGGGTAGAACATGCTTGTTAACACCAGTAAAGTTCTTGTTGGTAGAATTCGAGGAAGAAAAAGAAAAATTCAATTTAAAAGTTAAGCTGTATGGAAGACTTTGCTGTCCTAGCAATCTGCATCCTGAGAAACCTTTCTTTAGCAGTTTCTACTCCTTTTCACTTAGCTTTCCTTCTTAGTCCCCCAAACAGCTCCCGTAACAAAGCCAGTATGGACTCTAAGGTACAGCACAGAGAACTGACTAGATGAATAAGTGCATTCGTTCAAGTTAAGGAGTGACTGTCCTTGCCATAATCCACCAAAAAATTCAATCTGGTCATATCAAACAAAAGATGAAAAAAGCAAAAAGATTTTTTTCCCAAATGTCCATATAGATGTCTATATAAAAACACTTTCTATTTTTAATATTATTTACCTCACAACAACTTCTAAAACCTGTCCTTCTTAAGATAGTGGAATCTTGTGAGAAGTTTTGTTGTGAATAACATAATTTAATAAAGTCAACAGGACCCAAAGAGCTAATAATAAACTGCTCCAAGGACTCAAATGCAGTACAGCCAAAAGAACTCAATTAAACGCCTTAGCTAAACTGGACTGCACTTTCAAACTGTAAGAAAACAACAAAATAAAAATTGAATTCTCAGGATAAAAATCACCTAAGCAATAACTTAACTCACCTTCGGTATAAAGAAATTCTCAAAACACAAGTGACTGCATACTTTCCCTCCTGAGAGGTGTTATTTATGAAGGGTATTAGTTATAACCCAATAAAGTTCACAAAAAGGATATGGAAAGATCTCAGTAGACACTCAAGTGGCTATTTCTAGTACTATTCATTACCCATTCATAACAACAAAGTTAGCAGCACCACCTACTACCACATCAACCTCCACATCATTTTCTGAGCTTGTCTGAACCTGACTCTGTCTGAGCCCCCTGGGAAGGCAACTAGTGGCCTGGATAATGCAGCCCAAAGTTTAAAGGTTACTAGCATACTGAGATAATCATCGCTATGTGTGAATCTTTTTTTTTTTTTTTTTTCAGTAAGATCAAAATACCTCACTGGTGTCAGCTTTAGGACCACCAAAAAAAACTTGGGGCTGGACACCGTGCCTCATGCCTGTAATGATGGCACTTTGGAAGGTCAAAGTGGGAGGATGGATAGAGGCCAGCAAGACACCATCTCTACAAAAAATTTAAAGACTTAGGCCAGGCGCAATGGCTCACGCCTGTAATCCTAGCACTCTGGGAGGACAAGGCAGGAGGATTCTTTGAGCTCAGCAGTTCGAGACCAGCCTGAGCAAGAGTGAGACCCCGTCTCTACTAAAAAAAATAGAAATTAGCTGGAAAACTATAAAAAAAAGTATATATATACACATACACACACACACACACACATACACACACACACACACATATATATAATTAGCCAGGCATGGTGGCGCATACCTATAGTCCCAGCTACCTGGGAGGATGAAGCAGGAGGATCACTTTAGCCAAGGAGTTTGAGGTTGATGTGAGCTAGGCTGATGCCACAGCACTCTAGCCGGGGCAACAGAGTGGGACTGTCTCAAAAAAACAATACAAAACTATCCAGGTATAGTGGTGAACACCTGTAGTCCCAACTACTTCAGAGGCTGAAGCAGGATGATCACTTGAACCCAGGAGTTTGAGGCTGCAGTAAGCTATGATCACTGGACAAGAGAGCAAGACCCTGTCTCAAGAAAAAGAAAAAGAAAAAAAAACTTGGGACCAGTAACAATGGCTCTTGGCACTATAGTATTAATATTTTTTAAAATGAGAGACCACATGAGAAATAAGACTTATCTTAATACTTATATTAGCAATGAAGTTTTAAAGTGCTTCAAAGTTATATGATGGTGACAGGAGGGGGAAAGGATGGGGTCTGGGAGGGGGGGAAAAAAGCATTACAGCATATAACTACCTGAAAAAGAAATAGTAAACACACAGGTTAAAACATGTTTATAGTTACTAACTGTTGCCAACACATAGTTACCACACCATATACTTGTCAGATTTCTCAACATGCAAAACAAAAAGGAGCCACCCCTTTATGAAGTACTTATCTGCTGACTTCTCAAGAGAAGAAATGACTGTTCTGGAATGGGGGCAATTTAACTTCCTGTGCTCTCCCTTCGACTTTCAAAATCTTGGTAAAACTTTCAGCAAATTAAGGTTCTTCTCAACTTCAAGGCTTTTCATGTTAAGTTGAATAAAAGTTGCATATTTTTAATATTGATAAATTACAAGATCAGTTTTCTGTTTGCAAACTATATCTACATTTCAACTAGATTTTAAAATGCTTTTTAAAAGGCTAACTATAAAGTTTGCAAAAAGTAATACAGTAGACATGGCAGACATTCAACAAGTTTACTTATCAGAACTCCTAAAGAAAAAGCTTGAAAAAAATTATGAAGATAAATTCCTAGTAGTGCTACTGAAGAAAGATACAATGTTACTAATATGGAAATTGAAAAATATTCAAAATATTCTTAAAACAGTATATCCCTCTAAAAATAAAGACGAAAAGCATTTACCAATACAGACACTACTGGTTCTTAAAAATGATAATCACGTAGGAGGCATTTCTATAAATAATTTTGTTCTGAATTCCAATAACTCTAACCTTTCAAACCACGTTTTGGTCTTGCCTTACCAACAACAAGCGCATTTTTGGTGTCATTATATTGATACAAAGGGCTCTGCTATTTTATTTGCTTCTACTGCGAACTGTTGGTTTACACAGGTAAAGATCTAGAGAAAACTACCACACACACTTCACTTCCAATCATTAAAATAAAAATAAACAAAAAAAGCATCTGTCATAGATAAGGTCCTAATAATTTTCTAATTTACAACAACAAACATTTTACGTTGTAGTTCAAAAGCTACATACATATCTTCATTAATTTATTTGGATTCATATTCTATACGTTTACTTAGGTTGAAAAGAGAGAAACCTCAGAAAATAAGCAACCAACGGCGATGACACCATTCTAAGTTACTTAGGAAGGCTACAGTTCAAGAACTTTTGGAGGAAGAGAGAGTGTTTAAGACAATTCTCCAAGTATTTAATAAGTCGTGTTTTATCATTAACCCTAACCCTAGAATACATTATGGTGGGGGAGGAAGTGAAAATGATGAAGGGGGGAGAAACCCGACTTGAAAACGGACAGGCAGCCAAATTTACAAACCTTCAATTAAAGGAATTTTAAGATTAACTTCTCTCAAACGCCCTCACTCACTCCCCACACCCGCTTCCTCCTCTCCTCCGGGAGGTCTCTTAATGTGACTCATGACAAATTTTTTTAAAAAAATAAATAAATAAAAGACACACCCTCTGGGCTGAACTGACATAATCGCGCCCACCCCACCCTCCGCCGACACACACCCCGCTTTCCTCTCCCTTCTGCGGCTTCTCCCTGCGCCTCGTCCCTGCCCTTCCCTCTCCGCTCACTCTCAGAGGCGGCGCGGCGCAGCCGGGGCTCCGGGACCGAAGCCGGCGAGCGGGAGCTGCCGGGCGCGACTCCGGGCCGAGCCCGCGGGAGGCGGACGGCAGGGGGGCGCAGGCGGCGGGCTCCGGCTCCCTCGCCCATTTTCCCTCTCGCCTCCTCGGGCTCCGGCCGCCACAGCCACTTCCTGTGCGGCAGCCCGGCTCCCTCAGCCGGCCTCGCTCCCGCCGCGGCCGCGCCGGGCAGCGGCTGAGGCAGGGCAGTTCCCCACCCCGCCCCGCGGCCGGTCACTCGCGCGGCCGCCGCGGCTCCTCACCCAGCCGGCGCCCGCCGCCGCCCGCGCCCGCGCCCGCGCTCCTCACCTGAATGTAGTTGTTTTCACAGTAGTCGGCCACCCGGGTCAGGTTCTGGTAACTCTCTATCAGCGCCCTCTTGCCAGACGGGATCTCCTCCTCTAGCAACATCTGCAGCTCTGCCATTTTCCACCCCTCTGCATCGCTTCCTCTCGCGTTAAAGAGACAGAGGCAGCAAGGTCCGCCGCGGCTCGGAGCACCTCACAGCCCGGATACAAACCGCCTACCCGCCCTCCCGCCTGGTATTGTGGGAGTGCACCTCCTCCTCTTCCTCCTCACTCTCTCCAGCCTCCCTCCACCCAATGCGCGCAGCCGCCTGAACCTCGTTCTCTCGCGAGTCTTCATGGCTCTCCTCAACCACGGGATTTTTTTTTTCCTTTGGCACGGTCTTCTGGGAATTGTAGTCTCTCCTAGGCTAGCGTCCCGTCTAGGGCGCATGCGTCTAGAGAGCCTCCGAAAGCAACGGGGAGGGGCGCCGTGAAGAACGCCCACGGAAGGCGGCGGTGTTAAAACCGCGGTTTCCTCACAGTTCCGAAAGATGGCGCCACCGGGTGACAGCAGGGAATGAAATCGTTTGCCGAGAAAGCTGTGTAAGTTGGCAGAACTTGGTTAATTAGGAAGTATCAGTGAATCTGCGACATCCATTCAGATACGGACTAAAAAGGGGTAGAAAACAGAACACTCCAAATCTTTATTTCCTCTGTCTTCTTAGCGATAACGCGATTTAGGCTTTACTTTGTAAACTTCCGCCCCCATGAATGAATTTTAATTCATTTAGAATTTAGCGAACATTTGTTGATTGCCAGCTGTGTACCAACCTTTGTACTACACACTGAGGGTACAAGTTGTGTAAGAATACTCTGTACCCTTAAAGACTCGCAGTTTAAACATAAACACTCAAAATTTTTAGTTCTTTCCTGTCTTAATCTCAATTTTCTATATCTTCTTACACTTTTTAAGTCATGTACACATTATTTCTCTTGTTTGTGCACGATCATTTTTGTTTTCTTATTTATCATCAACTGCTTTGGAAGAGTCTCAAAAGGCCCTGTATTTCAAGCTTTTCACTTCAACAGGAACATTAAATACTTTCACATAATGTGCTATGAAAAGTGGTGTCCAAAGTCTGAAAAGGAAACTAAAGATCACTTTAAAATCCATTTTTATTTCTCTCCATGAAATCATTTGGAATCATAATAACTATAGGAATAACAACATTACTCAACCAAATTAAAAAATTGCCACAAACAGGTATTTATTGCCTTTACTGGGGGCCGTAAAATGTTCAATCTCTAAAAGGAAAAACTTAAGTCTCTTAAATAAGAGGGAACTTCCCCTTGCCACCAGATTCTCCATCAAGGACTATAGTGTCTATAAATCAATAAATGGATTACTTTCCATAATATTTGGAATAGGTATAATAGTCATCCTTTAATATTTATCATTAATCCAAACATGTTTTAATACAAGTCAGTAAGATATATTCTTGATCTTGCTATCTACATGAGCCGGGTTTAACTATGGAAATCACTAAGCTTACATATATCCATATATTTACACATTTCAACAACATTGGGAGAGTGATTAGGAAGGTCATACTGCCTTACTATTTGCAAAGTATTGTTAATTTCTTTAATGCTCATAACTCTGAGAGATAAATAATGTAAACATTATTTTCTTTCTTTACCAAAGAAGGAAATTTAAGGTTGGACAGGTTAAGGGATTTAGTTAAAGGCACTGAAAATAGTGGTCAAGTTCCTAGGTCAGTGACCTTGCCATTATCCAGAGAATAGTGTAACTGTATACAAATATTTGTGGTTCATATAAAGTCCACTTCAAGAAGTTATCCTTCATACCTTTAAGGTGATTGAATTAAGTATGCTACCCTTTGTATTTTTATCTTAAAAGAAACCTAGTTTCCAGTCTGGGGGCTGTAATCCCAGCTATTCAAGAGGCTAAGGTAGGATTGCTTGAGGCCAGGAGTTCCAGGCCAGCCTGAGCAATGTAAGGAAACTCTGTCTCTATTTTAAAAAAAAACAAAAAACAAACAATCTAGTTTCCCTGATAATTATAGTATGTAATCAAGCAATACTTCTTTATTTAAAATCAAATGGGCTGTGTGGGGCTAAAACCATAAAACACGGCACCATACTCTGAACAATAGCTTTCAATATTTTTTGACACAATTCAAAATAAGAAATAAGATTATACAATGACTCAGGACATATATATGATATATAGAGATATAAAAGTTTCACAAAACTAAACATGATACACTCTGACATTTCCTATTCTATTTCATTTTTATTTAATGCTAGTAAGGACCATTAAATTGATTTCATGATGTACAAAAAATAAGAGAGTCATATCCTCATACCTCTAAAAATAACTCTCAACCTAGAATTTAAATGCAACTAAATGTTGTTTGAAGGATGATCATGTTTCAGACATACAGGATAGTTTACCACCCTATATGTCTGAACCATGATTATCTTGGTTAAAAAAAAAATTAGAATGAAAGTATGAAATATAAGAAATAATGAAAACAGTGAATCAAATTGGTGAATTTGATTACCTATGGCTTAACAAAATAATTTTTTCAAGTTAAAAAAATAAAATATCTGAGGTTTTTTTATATGATATGTTAAAAAATATAATCCAGCTTATAAGAGACACCTATAAGACAAAACCATCCTTGAAATAAAGGATGGAAAAATATTTACCAGGAAATTATAATCCTGAAGAAAACTGTTATAGCAATAATAATACCAAGTTAATTAGAATCAAGGCCAAAAAAAATAAAATAAAGAATAGAGGGATATTCAATAATAAAAATAATAATTCATCAATAAAATATGGTTATCATAACTTCTTAGCAGTAAATATCACAGCCTCTCAATTAATAAAGCAAAAACTTTACAAAGAAAAATTAACATAGCAACAGGTATAAATGGAAGATTTTAACACATCCCTATCAGAGACCAAAGAAGCAAGCAGAAAAGTTAAGCTATAAATGTTTGAATGGTAAAATTAACAATGGTACAAATGATCATTATTAGAAATGAAAAAGAGGGAATAGCACAAGTTACAATAAGAAAAAAGAAGACATTTTCAGGCTTCCAGTAGTAACTAGGTTGAGTAACACATAGCAATTCTATCTGTACTTCCTATCTTCTTTGGTGACTATCTGTTCAAATCTTTTTGCTTGTTTTAAAAAACTATTTGGCATCTTATTATTTAAGAGTTCTTCATACAATTCCTTTATCAAGATACTTGTTTTACAGATTTCTGCACTTTTTTTCGGTTTAACTGGTTGAATGGAAGGAGATAGACACAAATTATGTTTCTACACAAATTTGTGCAGTGATGTGGGTTTCTTTTGTTTGTTTCTCTTTTTTTCCTTTAACTTCTATACCCAATGGCAACAAGTGGGTTTTCAATTATCTTCTAAAAGAAATTTTAATTTGAGAGTCAAAATCCCTTGCCATCCCACATTGAAATGGGTCATAAACCTAAATGAAAGAGAGAAAACCATAAAATTTCTGGAATAAAACGGGAGAAAATATTACTGCAGTTTGGTTAAGCAAAGATTAAATAGGACATAAAAACATGAAATGAGAAATAAAAAATGATAAATTGGTCTCGGTAAAATTTAAAACATTTGTTTTCAAAAAACACTGGTAAGAAAATGGAAGGGCACCATGAGCAGCAGTCTCCAGCAACACTTGCACAAGTGCCAGAGTTTTTGCAAATGGTAGAGCTGCAGATCTCACTGAAGAACCATGCCCCTAAGGAGGACAGTCAGTTCTTGGGTACTATCTGGCTTAAGTCCACTCTCTGCCCCAACTCCTCCGTATGTGTCCTGGGGTACCAGCAGCCTGCGACAAGGCCCAGGCTATAGATATCCCCCACTTGGATATCTAGGCGCTGAAGAAACTCAACAAAAATAAAAAGCTAGTAAGAAGCTGAATGAGAAGTATGATTTTTTGGCCTCAGAGTCTCTGATCAAGCAGACGTAAAGTCCACGATCAAGTTCCAGATGGGCCTGGCACAGTGGCTCATGCCTGTAATCCTAGCACTCTGGAAGGCCAAGGCAGGTGGATTGCTCAAGGTCAGGAGTTCAAAACCAGCCTGAGCAACAGCAAGACCCCGTCTCTACTATAAATATAAAGAAATTAATTGGGCAACTAATATATATAGAAAAAATTGGCGGGCATGGTGGAGCATGCCTGTGGTCCCAGCTATTTGGGAGGCTGAGGCAGGAGGATCACGTGAGCCCAGGAGATTGAGGTTACTGTGAGCTAGGCTGATGCCATGGCACTCACTCTAGCCTAGGCAACAAAGCGAGACTCTGTCTCAAAACAAACAAATAAACAAAAAGTTCCAGATGAATGTGCTGTGTCTGTCAGTAGCTGTTGGCCATGTAAAAATGACAGATGATGAGCTGGTGTACAACATCCACTAGGCTATCAACTTTTTAGTGTCACTGCTCAAGAATTGGCTTTACACATCAAGAGCACAATGGACAAGCTCCATTGCCTGCACTAAGACACATCCTAATCTTAGTGACAAAAAAAAAAACAAAAACAGAGAGAGACAGAGGAGGAAGAGAAGTAGTAGTAGTGGTGGCAAAACACAACCTGGGAGAAAATATTTGCAAAACAAATATCTTGGTAAAGGAATTTTATAAAGAACTCTTAAATTCAATAATAAAATGCCAAACCAGTTTTTTAAAACAAGCAAAAACAATTGAACAGATACTTCACCAAAGAAGACAGACATTGATAAATAAACACAAAAAAAGATGCTTAACACCATTAGTCATTAAGTAAATACAAATTAAAACCACAAAAGATATCACAACACACCCTGTAGAATGACTAAAATTTAAAAGATTAATAATACCAGTATTGTGAAGGATGGGGAGCAACTGCAACTCTCACACAAGAGCTTAAAATGTTAAGGCCACTTTAGTTATATAGTTTCTTTTTCTTTTTTCTTTTTTTTTTTTTTTTTGAGACAGAGTCTTGCTTTGTTGCCCAGGCTAGAGTGAGTGCCATGGCATAAGCCTAGCTCACAGCAACCTCAAACTCCTGGGCTCAAGCAATCCTCCTGCCTCAGCCTCCTGAGTAGCTAGGACTACAGGCATGTGCCACCATGCCTGGCTAAATTTTTCTATATATATTAGTTGGCCAATTAATTTCTTTCTATTTATAGTAGAGACGGGGTCTCGCTCTTGCTCAGGCTGGTTTCGAACTCTTGACCTTGAGTAATCCGCCCACCTCAGCCTCCCAGAGTGCTAGGATTAAAGGCGTGAGCCACTGCGTCTGGCCCACTTTGGTTATATAGTTTCTTATAAAGATAAACACACACTTATGATCTTGGGATTTCACTCCTAGGTATTTACCCAAGAAAAACGAAAACATATCTACATAGAGACTTATAAACAAATGTTCAGAGCAGCATTATTGAAAATAGACAAAACCTGGCTTGGCCCGGTGGCTCATGCCTGTAATCCTAGCACTCTGGGAGGCCGAAACGGGAGGATTGCTTAAGATCAGGAGTTCAAAACCAGCCTGAACAAGAGCCAAACCCCGTCTCTACTATAAATAGAAAGAAATTAATTGGTCAACTAATATATATAGAAAAAATTAGCCAGGCATGGTGGCACATGCCTGTAGTCCCAGCTACTAGGGAGGCTGAGGCAGGAGGATTGCTTGAGCCCAGGAGTTTGAGGTTGCTGTGAGCTAGGCTGATGCCACGGCACTCACTCTAGCCTGAGTCTCAACAAAGTGAGACTCTGTCTCAAAAAAAAAAAAAAAAATTACATGTCTTTGTTGTCATTCGACATATGAAGAAAAGTCACATCATCCTAAAGGATAGGGCACAACTTGTGTTTCCAAGTAATAAAGGTGACTAAATGGTCAAGAGTTAAAATTAAGAAATACAGGTAAACGTTGTGAAAATAAATTAACAGTGTTATGCTAATGTTTTAAAGTCCAACATCTCTCCCATAATGTGCATTTTTATACTCCTTATTTAGTATTTTTCTGTGGATTTTGTTCAAATAAATTAGAAGGAAATGCCTTTCAAAGAAATCCCAACAGAATAAAGAATAACAGTATTTATATTACACTTAGTGATGTATTCCTAGGGTTCAAATTATAAAACAGCCCTTATACATTTCATTTCATGGATGTCTAGTTAGGCTAATCAATTTTGTCAGGAAAAACAATTTGTAACTGCAAATGCTGCACATATGCATGAAGAGAAATTGAAATTTCTTGTATTTCATCTGAAATAGCAGATTGCTGACAATCATAAAGTCCTTACTTTCAAGGGATTAAGAGATGTGCCAGGCAAAATCATAATTTGGACTATTTTGGTACATAATTGCTGATCTTGTTGTCTGGCACACAAAGAGTGAGACTGCATACTTAGAAAAGCTCAGACTTTCACAACATTAGTTCCCAACATGGCATCCCCGGACACTAAATAGAAAGTAGGTGGTCAACAAACCAGAATGTAGAGTAGCAACGTGATATAGTGGAAAGTAACCGGGGGTCTCACACCTCCCTGCACTCCATACCACCACTACCACCACCACTATGTGACATGGTCACCTTCTCCTCTTCACAAAGAAGGGGAGGGAGAAATGTATTAATATTACTCTGCTAGAACTGCTATAAAAAAATACCACAGACTGGGTGGCCTAAATAATAGAATTTTTTTCTTTTCTTTTCTTTCTTTTTTTTTTAGAAAGATGGGATCTCCCTATGTTGCCCAGGCTGGACTTGAACTCCAGGGCTCAAAGGATCCTCCTGCCTCAGCCTCCTGAGTAGCTGGAACTACTAGTGTGTGTTACTACACCCAGCTAAATAACAGAAGTTTATTTTTCACAATTCTGGAGGCTGGAAGTTCATATTCCTACCAGCACTCTCTTCAAAGCCATCTAGGCTTTTTCTAGCAAGTACCTCAAAACTCCTTCACCTTCTACCCATAAGTCAGTTCCAGTACCACTTCCACATTTGTAGTATTTGTTACAGCAGCTCCTCGCTTCACAGTACCGAAATCTGTATTAGTCTGCCAGGGCTGCCTATAATAAAACACCTCAAAAAAAAAAAAAAAAAAACCCTTAGACTGGGTGCTTAAACAACAAATATATTTCTCACAATTGTGGAAGCTGACAGTCCAAGATCAAGGTGTTGGCAGGTTTCATTTCTCCTGAGGCCTCTCCTTGCTTTGTCAATGGCCGTCTTCTTCCTGTGTCTTCACAGGGCATGTCCTCTGTGCACCCATATCCCTGACATCTCTTCTTCTTCTTATGAGGACACCAGTCATCTTAGATTAGAGCCCCAGTCTAATGGCCTCATTTTAACTTACTTCTTTAAGGGTACTAGGGGTTAGGGTTTCAACACATGAATTTTAGAAGACACAATTCAGTCCACAGAAAGGACTGACATTCTAGGATTCTACAACCCTCAATTATTTCCTCTTAGCTTCTTTTTGAGTTAATGTTACCATCCAGGAATCCCCCAGAAAGAGAAGGAAGATTAATGGAGCACTATGATTTGTTTAGCAAAGCCCACACAAGGCAAGAGGATTTCAGGAGACAGATAAATTATGACTTTTCCTTCAAATTTTATTATAATTGATGGTAGAAATCCTTTTATGCACAGTCATGATTTTTGTAACAGAAAAGACCCACAGACCAGTTTTCAAGCAGATCTGATTATTAATTTAGCATAGGGGAAAAGATCTTTTTTAGTTAGCTTAAGCCAAACCACTGCAGAATGCCAGGGTTATTTTGTTGTGGAGCAAGCTGTTATCATGAAATAATTAAAAATTAGCAATATCTAAAAATGCAAGGTGGGTCCTAGGAGAAAAATAAGCCTTTCAGTGAAATTTCATATTGGTTTTTCTTCTTTTCCAGAAGCTGCAATATTTGCAGTATGATTTCAGTTATTCTCTTGTTAATTTTGAAGCTGCTGAATCAACATTTCCTCCTCCACCTCCCTTTCTCAACTTCAGGAAGATATTGTAAGCATTTGTAACAAAGAGAGCAAATTTTGGAGCAGTTAACCTGGCCAGCAGTAACAAGTACCTCACTCTCTGAACATAGTGATGAACTGGGAGCCGGTGATGTCTTTTCTGAATTTTGTCCCTCCAGTCCTTCCAAAAATGTTATAAATGCCTTACTATTTGAATTATCTAGAGTAATTTCCCTTTTCCTGACTGAACTCTGACAAATACAACTAAACAGAACACATTTAAAAGTTCTATGTAGGCAGGGCGTGGTAGTTCACACCTGTAATCCTAGCATTCTGGGAGGCTGAGATGGGAAGATTGCTTAAGCTCAAGAATTGGAGACCAGCCTGAGCAAAAGCAAGACCCTGTCTCTACAAAAAATAGAAAAACTAGCTGGGCCTAGTTGCGTGTGCCTGTAGTCCCAGCTACTCGGGAGGCTGAGGCAGGAGGATCGCTTGAAGCCAGAAGTTTGATGTTCAATGAGCTATGATGATGCCATGGCACTAGGTGGGGTGACAGAGTGAGAGTCTGTCTCGAACCAACAAAAAAAATACTACATACTCCCAGCTACTCTGGAGGCTGAGGCAGGAGGAATGCCAGAGCCAAGGAGTTCAGGGCTGTAGTGTTCTCTGACCATGCCTGTGAATAGCCACTGCACTTCAGCCTGAGCCACATAGTGAGATGCCATACCCCCTCCCCAAAAAAAGTTCCAAAGACAAATGACAATCCATGTAAAGTTAGTATTCCTTTAGTTGGAAGTTACAGCAAACAATTTAAGCTAGTAATAATGAGGGACAAGGGAGAAAAAAAGAAAAAGATTTCTTTTATGAAAATTCAGACTTTAAATCACAGAACCCAAAAATAGAAATGCAATCAATTCTAAGAAAATACTGGAACAATCCTTTGTAAGGCCAGCAGGAATCCAGAGAGTATTGTCAATTAATGTCTTGTTTGTTTACCAAAAGACTTTCTTTGCTGCCCATTCTAAATGGTGGAGGGCACGGCAAATTAGCTCCCAGGTTTTTCCTCTACTTCATTCAAGAAGCCCAATCTGAGACTGAAATCCTTCAGTTCCAAACCCATATTCCTCAAAAAGAAAATATGATTAGTCCAACTTGAATTTCATCTTTTTCCACTCATTGCCTTTGGCAGTAGAGGCATGTGCAAGCAGCAGTGGCAGAATTGTTTGAACCAAACTGAGGTTGGCGTGGGAAGTTTCTGGAGAGAGTAGATTAAAAAAAGTGTCAGGTGTCCACTACAGCTGGGGAAATTTGGCAATACGTATACATGATACCTGGGTCCCATCCAGGATGACTGTGTATAATTATGCCAGTTACTCACACACGGTGCACCAAGCTGAAAGTCCCTGCGTGGGCTGCGTTCACTCAGAGGAAGGGCTGCCTTTTTAAAATTAGCAAAAAAGTGTTTCATGGGCTTTCGTGAGGCAGCTCTAGTAATCCTTTTAAAACTATGTTAATGTGCTTTCCTTTTTCCTACTCCATCAGATGTGATTTAATCTTTTTGGTGTTTTGTTTTCTCTTAATTCTGAAACAACAGTTTGCTCTGGAGAGAATGGAAGAAAGATGTCAATACAAGTGGTTCGATTTATAAAAAAAAAAAAAAAAAAAAAAAAAGAGAATGGAAGAAAGAGTCAATTTTCAGATTTTACATAGCAAAATAGGATTTAAAACCTATAGGGGGCTGGGCGTGGTGGCTCACGCCTGTAATCCTAGCACTTTGGGAGGCCGAGGCGGCCGGATTGCTCAAGGTTAGGAGTTCGAAACCAGCCTGAGTGAGACCCCGTCTCTACCAAAAATAGAAATAAATTAATTGACCAACTAAAAAATATATATACAAAAAATTAGCTGGGCATGGTGGCGCATGCCTGTAGTCCCAGCTATTAGGGAGGCTGAGGCAGGAGGATCACTTAAGCCCAAGAGTTTGTGGTTGCTGTGAGGTAGGCTTATGCCACGGCACTCTAAGCCCAGGCAAGAGAGAGAGACTCTGACTCAATAAATAAATAAATACATACATACAAACCTATAGGCTGGGCGCGGTGGCTCACGCCTGTAATCCTAGCACTCTGGGAGGCCGAGGTGGGAGGACTGCTCGAGATCAGGAGTTTGAAACCAGCCTGAGCAAGAGTAAGACCCCGTCTCTACTATAAATAGAAATAAATTAATTGGCCAACTAATACATATACAAAAAATTAGCCAGGCATGGTGGCTCATACCTATAGTCCCAGCTACTTGGGAGGCTGAGGCAGGATTGCTTGAGCCCAGGAGTTTGAGGTTGCTGTGAGCCAGGCTGATGCCATGGCACTCACCTAGTCTGGGCAACAAAGCGAGACTCTGTCTCAAAAAAAAACAAAAAACAAAAAAAAAACCTATAGTGAGAATAGTCTGGAAAGTCAGGCTTTATTGTGAGAAAAGGATGTTGAAACTCTAAAACCATCCTTTCATATATTAAAAGCAGAGCTTAGATATTGGAAAATTGAGTTGTTGTTTTTTTTTTTCATGCAGATTTCATGGCAGAAGAAAATTGAGTTTTATAGTAAGCTAGTGTGTAGAGAAGATCCAAGTCATGAGAAGGAACTGCAGAGCAATTCCAAGACTCAGGGAAAGACAAGCAAGAGAGGAAAAAGGGGCAGACCTGAGGGTTTAGGTTCATGCTCTAGGAAGAAACATCCATTAGATTTGGGGACTCTCAGGCTAGTGTTACTTTCTCCTGACTTCTCAGTGCATAAAACAAGAAATGGAAAGCCTCTTAGGAAACACTTTCCATTCAGCAAAGGGCAGAGAAACATGACTGTACCCAAGTGCTAGTTTAGAAAAATGGTTGAGGAGATTTCTAGGCAAATGGGCCCAAGATAGTGCCTTCCTTCCTTCATATTTATTTATTTATTTACTTTTTTTTTTTTTTTTTTGGAGGACAGAGTCTCACTTTGTTGCCCAGGCTAGAGTGAGTGCCGTGGCGTCAGCCTGGCTCACAGCAACCTCAATCTCCGGGGCTCAGCGATCCTACTGCCTCAGCCTCCCGAGTAGCTGGGACTACAGGCATGCGCCACCATGCCCGGCTAATTTTTTGTATATATATTTTTAGTTGGTCAATTAATTTATTTCTATTTTTGGTAGAGATGGGGTCTCGCTCAGGCTGGTTTCGAACTCCTAACCTTGAGCAATCCGCCCGCCTCGGCCTCCCAAAGGGCTAGGATTACAGGCGTGAGCCACCACGCCCGGCCTACTTTTTTTTTTTTTTTGAGACAGAGATCTCACCAGCCTGAGCAAGAAGTAAGACCCGTCTTACTATAAATAGAAATAAATTAATTGGCCAACTAATACATATACAAAAATTAGCCCAGGCATGGTGGCTCATACTATAGTCCCAGCTACTTGGGAGGCTGAGGCAGGATTGCTTGAGCCCAGGAGTTTGAGGTTGCTGTGAGCCAGGCTGATGCCCATGGCACTCACTTCTAGTCCTGGGCAACAAAGCGAGACTCTGTCTCAAAAAAAACAAAAAACAAAAAAAAACCTATAGTGAGAATAGTCCTGGAAAGTCAGGCTTTATTGTGAGAAAAGGATGTTGAAACTCTAAAACCATCCTTTCATATATTAAAAGCAGAGCTTAGATATTGGAAAATTGAGTTGTTGTTTTTTTTTTTCATGCAGATTTCATGGCAGAAGAAAATTGAGTTTTATAGTAAGCTAGTGTGTAGAGAAGATCCAAGTCATGAGAAGGAACTGCAGAGCAATTCCAAGACTCAGGGAAAGACAAGCAAGAGAGGAAAAAGGGGCAGACCTGAGGGTTTAGGTTCATGCTCTAGGAAGAAACATCCATTAGATTTGGGGACTCTCAGGCTAGTGTTACTTTCTCCTGACTTCTCAGTGCATAAAACAAGAAATGGAAAGCCTCTTAGGAAACACTTTCCATTCAGCAAAGGGCAGAGAAACATGACTGTACCCAAGTGCTAGTTTAGAAAAATGGTTGAGGAGATTTCTAGGCAAATGGGCCCAAGATAGTGCCTTCCTTCCCTCATATTTATTTATTTATTTACTTTTTTTTTTTTTTTGGGA